GAAGAAACAATTCTAGCAAAACTTACTTGGTTGTTCTTTCAGAATTATATAAAGAATTCATATTTGGCATTTGATTGGTTTTGACTGAATCTACCACGAACACATAGGTCCTTTTCACTGGTGGTACAAAAAGCCCAAACATAGCTTTACTACCCCTGGAAAAATAACCATTATAAGAAACTGGTAATCTCCAGTGTTTAATCAAAAACATACAAGAAATGTTAAACTGAGGGGTATATTTCATTAGATATTTCAAGGAAATTAAACTCACTTCCAACAGGTTTATATAGTTTAAACTAAAAACTAAACGACAAAAAGTTTTATTTGAAAAAAAATCATTATGTGACATTCAAATGCCACATAGAAAAACAGAAAAGACTACAGAGTGGTGGTACAGATAGATATACTTACACAGAGTGGTGGTACAGATAGATATACTTCCTAGCTTTTATGTGTAAAGATAAAATACTAGCAGTACTAATTCTAGCTTTTATGTGTAAAGATAAAATACTATCAATACTGTTCTAGCTTTTATGTGTAAAGATAAAATACTAGCAATACTGATCCTAGCTTTTATGTGTACAGATAAAATAATAGTAGTACTGATCCTAGCTTTTACTCCATCACAAAATGTTGCTTAAATCTGTTCAACTTTATAAATCACTTTTTAATTGTTTTTGTTATGGTGAAAAATCATTATTTGATATTTATTATTTTACAGGAACGTGATACATTTGATTTAAGACACTTAGAATTTGGTACCCTAGCCCAGTACAACTATTTACCAGCTGGAAGCGTGAGGTATATCTACTTGTACCACCACTCTGTGTATCAGTACTGCTAGTATTTTATCTTTACACATAAAAGCTAGAATCAGTATTGCTAGTATTTTATCTTTACAAATAAAAGCTAGGATCAGTAGTGCCAGTATTTACCTTTACACATAAAAGCTAGGATCAGTACTGCCAGTATTTTATCTTTACACATAAAAGCAAAGAACAGTATTGCTAGTATTTTATCTTTACACATTCAAGGAAGCACGAGGCTCAATTCACAGAAATATTATCACTTGAAACTTACTTTGGAAGCATACTCACGAACAAACGATTTGGAAACTTTGCAAACACATCCCAATGTTACTAACACCCGGAAGTCCAATGGGACTTGTGTTTCGTAGATCCCTTCAATGTGTGGTGACGATAACTCTGCCATTAGCTCACTATGTAATAAAAAAATTTATTCAGAAATAAGATCTACCAAACGTTTTTTACAGATAAGATATTTACGTCGAATCTCTATTATGAAACATATGTAGAATAATAAGACATATTTTATATCTACAAGATTTTATGACGGAAAAAAACAACAACATATTCAATACCTAAAAGATAATATAAAGAAAGGTCAGAGTAATTGGCTTCTGTTTGGTTTTGGAGACAACATTTCAGAACATGTCTGAAACATCCTTTCCAAAACCAGATGGAATCAGTCCAACTAATCAAAATGCCATCTACAACTCTCTTTAATCCTTTCCATATGGTGTCAATGTGTTGGTCAATGTGACCAACCTCGTAACCACAAAGTAATCACCAGTTCCCATATTATAATTTTAATATCTTTTGTGTATCTGGCAAACTTTCAGTAAATATTACAAGTCTTTATTTAAGTATTTTCACTGAAGATTTATCCATGAATATATGGAATCAGTGCCGACTGCTCCTAGTGCAAAGTGATTTTCATTTGAACACCATGAGGTAAACATTTATACTGAAGACAAGCTGAAAATACTCTTTACTTGAAGCAACGTGGCATTAAATATCATCTGACAGATTAAAACAATGGTTTTCTATTGGTTATATATATGATATAGTATAAAATGTCACAAAGAATTATTGGCAACTTGTAAGAGAGGATGTGACAAGTGGATCTGATTTTCTAGTTTATGGCTCCGTATATAAACAAGATTGAAAGCTATAAAGATTAAACATTGTCTATATTATAATGAGTTGAATTCTGTACTTCAGAGAGGGATGGTAAATAAATTAAAGATGTAGAGAACAAATGTCACAATCCTCATAATAGGATTTTAGGATCGAGGATTTTTAAAAATATTTCCTTATAAAATTAAGAGCTTAAAACTTATACAATATTAAAATTTAATTTATTAACAATGTTTGATGCTAAGTTTATTGGTACACATTAATAATAAAGTAGTTTAATTAAACTTTCAGTGTAACTCTATAAAAGGTCATGACATGCACTCTGACCTACTTGTAGTGAGAGGATTAAAAGAAGATTACAGTGATACAATATCATTTCAGAAACTTAATTGGACTTTATTCTATGCCACAAATTCTAAACCTGAATAAAACTACTATGTGTAAAGCTGTTCTGATGTTTTAAGTCTGTACAAATTCTTCAAAAGGTTTGTACATTTTACAATTTTTGCACAAAGTTACAGAAGGATTTTCTGTGTTACTGGTTCTTAACTTTGAACTGATAAATTAACGCGAAGGCAGCTAATCAATAACACTCAATATCAACTTTTGTGCTACTCTATAATCAAACGGTGGAATTTGACCACACTGCTATAATGCAACCATAGGCCAAATTGCAGGGCACAGTTTTGCATTAATGGGGCATGAACCCTTAGGTTCACAGTACAGCACATAAACCACCAGGCTACACCTGGCTCTTCTACAAAAGAATCTGTCACGTGGAGAGAATAACCATATTTGAAAACTGGTGTTAACTTGATGGCTGCAGACTCCTCCAAGCAAAGTTTCAAACAAAATTATTTATGAAGAAGTTTTTGAAGCACTAAAGAAGGTATACGAACTAATGTGTAACACACAAAAAAACTTACTTGCTGTGTTGCTGAAAAACTTTTTCTGGTACTGTGTATTCATATAAATAATAGACAGGATTGGATCTTGGCAATGTCCTCATCACTTTCTTCCACACTAATGAGATAGAACAACAGATACGAGCTTAATGAATAACATTAAGATACATATTAAGAAAGCAATAATTATAGAAAAAAAAAAATCTGACACAATTTCAGTAAATAAAACTATAATTATTCTTTGAGCATATTTTTCAATAAGTTTACAACAAATAAAGAAACTTACAAAAATACACAAAAACAAATAATGCTCTTAACAACAAAACTTTCCAACAAGATGAATTAACCCCTTAAAGACTATTACTGTTTTCTTTAATTAACTTCATCTGTGCATTAAAATGAAGACAAAGTGCCTTTCATAGGTACTGTCATCAAAAAATACAAATATAAAAAGACAAAAAAAAAGATAGTTTATCATGTTTCTCAAAAAGTAGTTTTTAATTAGTTGTGTAAAAACCGTTTGTGAGCGCTCCAAGTTTTCGTAGTTTTAAAACAGCTCAAAATAATGGGAAGAAAAAAATGTAGTTTTAAAAATTAGATCACATTGGTTGGCAGTAATTTTGTAATGGAGAAACTGAACTAAAACTATGTGAAACCGACATAAGTTCTTGAACAGTTAACAACAACAACAAAGGACACATACGTGGACAACAACAAAGGACACATACGTGGACATATACGTGGACAACAACAAAGGACACATACGTGGACAACAACAAAGGACACGTACGTGGACAACAACAAAGGACACGTACGTGGACAACAACAAAGGACACGTACGTGGACAACAACAAAGGACACGTACGTGGACAACAACAAAGGACACGTACGTGGACACGTACGTGGACAACAACAAAGGACACATACGTGGACAACAACAAAGGACACATACGTGGACACGTACGTGGACAACAACAAAGGACACATACGTGGACAACAACAAAGGACACATACGTGGACTCTCTCCTTCTTTGGGAACTCTTTGGTTAACGTAAAAAATTCTGGGTACATTCAAACGTATCTGATGAAGATCTTGACCAACTAAAGCCCACAGACGGTAAACTCCTAATTGGCCACTTTCAGCTACCTAAAGTAATAATGAAACAAATACAGAATTACACATTTCTCTTTCTATGTTTAAGAATTTCTATGTTCGTAGTTTCATTGTTGGTTCTAAGCATGTTAAAACCATTTAAGTTCATTATTTAAACTAATTAACTCTGATTATGTTAGATTAAATGTTAAATTACATGAATGCTAAATAAAGAATCTTTTACTTTTAGCCTCTCTCTCTCATTCTATGTTTAAGAATTTCTATGTTCGTAGTTTCAGTGTTGGTTCTAAGCATGTTAAAATTTTAAAACCATTTAAGTTCATTATTTAAACTAATTAACTCTGATTATGTTAGATTAAATGTTAAATTACATGAATGCTAAATAAAAAATCTTTTACTTTTAGCCTCTCTCTCTCTTTCTAACCTGAATTATTTGCCATGGAGTGTCCAGCAGAGATTTCTGGGTGCGGCGTAGGAAGTCACCAATTCCTGTTCTATTCTGAATAACTCTGCCTCTTTTAGTCGCATTGCCCTCTCCCACACGATGCCTTTGATGCCTCATTTCTCGTTGACGAAGTTGGAAAGCCCACTTTTTCTTTTGATATTGTAACCATTCTTGTCTCTCTCCCTAAAAAAAAAATTATTTTTTTTCATCTTGATAACTTTATAGTCCACAACGTGTAGTCAAAAAAATTCTGTATCATGAAAACTTCTGAATTGGAAGAGTAAGGCTTATGAATACAATCCAAGTTTTATTTTACTTAAACACTTCATGTATCAATTTCATATATTTAGCAACACTAGATCAAATCGCCATCTTCTCTACAAACTACCCAATTACTACTGGACAATTACTACTATTTTACTACCCAATTACTACTGGACATTATTTGTTGTTATTAAACAAATCGCCATCTTCTCTGCAAACTACCCAATTACTACTGGACAATTACTACCCAATTACTACTATTTTACTACCCAATTACTACTGGACATTATTTGTTGTTATTAAACATTTTGTACCATAAAATCTCCCCAAGGAAGTTTAACATTTCTTGCATATGACAACAGGTCTTAGTTTATGGTACCACACGACATCAGGCCTTGAATAATAATACCAAATTATGTCAGATCTGGTACCACATGATGGCATCACGATGCCAGATCTTGCATAAAAGTACCACATGACATCAGGTCTTGAATGATGGTACCACATGATGGTATCATGATGCCAGGTCTTGCATAAAAGTATCACATGACATCAGGTCTTGAATGATAGTACCACATGGTGGCAGATCTCACACAATGGAACCACATGATGGCAGATCTTACACAATGGTACCACATGATGGCAGATCTTACATTTTATTTCGGCCCACATTTCATCATTGTGGCTTCACTGGAGTTAGTAGTACAAGAACTGGCATCAAACAATGACAAAACGTTGGTTGAAATATAAAGTGTTTTTTTTATTATTATCTGGAAAGTAAAAGTAATTTTTGTCTGGCATTTTATCAACTTAACCTCTTTTTTTGTAGTTAACCTCATTAAATTATTAGAATTAATTTCTTTTGTTTCTGAAATGAGCATTTGGTTACTATAACTTGTATTACATTGAAAAACCTGCCATCATGTGATACCATTGTGTAAGATCTGGCATCATGATACCATCATGTAACCTGCCATCATGTGGCACCATTGTGTAAGATCTGGCAACGTGATACCATCATGTAACCTGCCATCATGTGGTACCATTTTATTTTTCTATTATTATTAACTGGAGAGTAAAGATCATTATTCTTACTTTTTACAGAAAATTGTTGGAATTGATAAAATTCCTTAAACACAGTAATTGAATACATTAAGTTCCATCCAATTAAAAGGAAGAATTTCAAAAAAAATTAATTAGTCAAATTATGATCCAGAAACCTTAACAATAAATAATTAAAACAATGACTTTTACTATAAGTTTACTTGATCTGACAGATTAAATGTCAATGAAATGTGAGAAATAATTTAAAATTATGATTAAAAGGTAAAGTTAAGGGAAAAAAAAAACCTTTTTTCATCAATAATTTAAACCTGAATGATTATTACCACATCTTTGTATTTTTAAATACTAACATTTCGAGCAACTTTAATCAAAATGAAGTGTTATTAAAAGGTTCAACTTCAATTAAACTAACCCTTGTGTTACCAAGTGGTGGTGGAGGTCCTAGTTTCTCTCTCCAGGTTTGAATCTCAGCTTCTACTTGCCAGCTGCCAGAGTTGGTACGCTTACGTTTTGTGGACGTAACAATTGGACGTGGAGAACTGGAAGTTGGAAGCTGTTTTTTACCAATATCTTCTATATCCAACACAGACTGACTGTCCCGAGATGTGCCCTCCAATGATGCCTACATGTTAAAATAAATAAAAAAAGCTACTTCCTATTCTTATAAAAATACACATTATATTTAATTTACAAAACAATAAATAAAAGAAAGTAATTTCAGTAACTTATATGTTCACTCTTTTTAGTTGTTTTTTACTCACCACAGTGAACTTATATTAGGCTTAAATATCAGTTCAGTAAAAGGGTGGCGAATAAAAGGGAAATAAAAACCCCAACGTATAATAAACTTCACCACAATAAAAAACTTATATTAGGCTTAAATATCGGTTCAGTAAAAGGGTGGCGAATAAAAGGGAAATAAAAACCCCAACGTATAATAAACTTCACCACAATAAAAAACCTACTTTTTTTTTTTTTGTCTTTGTTACTGATGTTACTTCTCCAATTCTGGTACAACTTGGTGACAAGTGGTGAAGTGATTAATAGATTAGACCTCATATTTATTTTTAG